CCCTTTCTTTCCCTTTACGTCTCTCTCTCTCTCCCTCTCTCTCCCTCTGTCTCACTTCCCTCCCTAGTTATCTCGTTTGTTGTTTCACGAAATGATGTCTTTGCTTGTGTAGGAAAATGCGACACTATCGTCAAGAAAATCTCCAAAATTCTCACCCTGAATGAAATCGTCGACTTGATGTTTTTGCTCGCGACGCAACCCTCAAAATAATATTCGATGTCAGCGCACATACCTCCACCTTAACCTCGCCCCGTCGCGCTATCTCAAGCTATCTTTCCTCTCTCTCTGTATCACTCCCACTCTCTCACTTCCTCTCTCTCTCTCTCTCTCTCTCTATATATATATATATTTATATATATATATATATATATATATATATATATATCTCCCTCCCTCTCCCTCTGTCTCACTTCCCTCCCTACTTATCTTGTTTGTTGTTTCACGAAATGGTGTCTTTGCTTGTGTAGGAAAATGTGACACTATCGTCAGGAGTATCTTCCACATGCTCTCACATACCTCCACCTTAACCTTGGGTCATCGCGCGACGTCATGCAAGCTGCATCGCTCGTCAATGATCAGCCCACTCCCTGGTTCGTCGCGTGTCAATTGCTCCACACGCATCCTCAGTCCTTCGCGTCGGAATTCTTTTCGACATCAGCGCACCTACCCCCACCTTAACCTCGCACCATCGCGCTATCTCAAGCTAGTTTTCCTCTCTCTCTCTCTATCACTCTCTCTCTCTCTCTCTCTCTCTCTCTCTCTCTCTCTCTCTCTCTCTCTCTCTCTCTCTCTCTCTCTTTTCACTTCTCTCTCTCTCTCCCTCTCTCTCCCTCTGTCTCACATCCCTCCCTACTTATCTCGTTTGTTGTTTCTCGAAATGATGTCTTTGCTTGTATAGGAAAACGCAACACTACCATCAAGAGAATCTTCRACATGCRCTCACATACCTYCACCCTAACCTTGCGCCATCGCGCTTGTATAGGAAAACGCGACACTACCATCAAGAGAATCTTCGACATGCGCTCACATACCTCCACCCTAACCTTGCCCCATCGCGCGACATCATGCTAGCTGCATCGCGCGTCAATGGTCAGCCCACTCCCTCGTTCGTCGTGCGTCAACACCCGTACGGCGCTCCCGGCGTGCGCTAACCCGTCGGTGCAAGCGGTCCAGGTCTCGACTTCTCAGCATCAGTCCAGTTCCTATTCCACTGCCAAGTCAGAAATACATGAAGAACACCCTCATGCTTCCTCCGCTTGGCCAAGGACCCCTGACCAGCATTGATTGTTCCAGATATCTGGTTGTATCAAAGCCTCTCTAACTTCAGCAAGAACAGAAAAAGAAAACAAAAAAATGCCAGTTTCTACAGGCTATGAGAGTGTCTGTGGGCTCAATACAAGAGCCCCGTCTCCGAATAGCTGATATACAGCTAAGGCACTCAGATTTGTGTGTCTGAACTCAAAGCTTGAGTCCATAAGACTGACCTCAGACTTGGACAGATATCAGTCTTCGAGCCCATGTTCCTGGATGGCTGGTCCAGAGACACGGCACCCACTGCTGTGTCTTGGTCTGCAGCTTCCTCTACGGAGCTGGTTTTCAGACTCCACAGGTACACACCTAGATTGCCTTTAGACTCTGCTGGTACACACCTAAAAAAATGTTTGTAGACTGTGTTGGTAGAGATCTAGATTGCCTTCAGACTCTGCTGATACGGACTTAGATTGCCTTTAGATTGCTGGTACACACCTAGATTGCAATTAGACTCTGCTGCAACAAACCTAGATTGCCTTTAGACTCTGCTTGTACAGACATAGGTTGCCTTTAGGCTCTGCAGGTACACACATAGATTGCCTTTAGACCTGCTGGTATGGACCTTGATCGCATGTTGATTCTTGCTCTGAGCTCCACGCTCAGAATCAGAGCGTTGTTATGATCCTGGCCAGTTTTCAAGTACTCATTCATAAGAAATTACTACGCCATCCAATTGCAAAAAGAAACGAGTGAACTTGAGAGGAGAGAGAGGGAAAGAAGAAGAACAAAGAAAGAAGAAGAAGATCATGTGCACCAGCAAAGACCAATGATAATCCCTTCCTCCTTTGCCAGCCACTCTCCTCCTCCTTATCTCCTCCCCCTTATTCGAACAAGAAATAATAATAAATATGTTGAATGGATGAACCAGAATCAATGTCCGAATCCCTCTTCTACTGCAGGTATCACATGAGGTCCACCATAGTCATGGCCACCCTTCTTCCTCCTTCCTCCAAGGCCGAGGCTATGGCAGACTACCAGGGCATTCCCCTGCTGTGCAAAGGACAACACAAAGCAGCTATGGCTGCTCATGTTCAGGCCGCCATGCCTGACTCTGCCTCAAAGCTTCTTGGTGCAGCGCTGCCCCAGTGGGCCTTCCAGATGCACCGTCCACCAAGGTGTTGAAGACGGCGTCCACCATAGTCAGGTAAGTACATCTGGCGCTGCCCGCAAAATTACTTACCAATGCCTCTTTCAAGGCTTGAAAAACGGTCTCACATGTTGCATCCCATGTAAGATATGTTCTTGCCTGTTAGTTTAGACAGCGGGCGAGCAACAATAGAAAATCAGGGCACAAACTTCCCATAGTATGATGTAAGATCAAGAAAAGAATGCAATTCATGGATGTTCGCGGGTTGAGGCCACTTGCGTATGACCTCAACCTTAGTTGCCTCGGGCTCAAGGCCTGCAGCAGCTAACTGGTGTCCAAGATAGATGACGTTGTCCCTCCCAAACTCAGATTTTTCTGAGTTGAGATGGAGATGTGTTTTCTTGAGGATGGTGAACACTTCCTCAAGGTGCTTCGTGTGTTCCTCAATCGACTTGCCGAAAGTCAAAATGTCAGCAAGATACACAAGCACAAATCGACCAACTTGTTCATGGAGGGCCTTGTCTAGAAGACTTTGAAAGTTGGCCGGTGCGTTCGTGAGACAAAAGGGCATTACGGTGAATTTGTGAAGCCCATCGCGAGTTCTAAATGCAGTCGTGTGATGGTCTGCAGGTTCGACTTCAATTGCGTGGTACCTAGACTTGAGGTCGATCTTGGAGAAGACCTTGCACCCACCTACAACATCAAGAAAATCATATATGTGTGGCAATGAGTACACATTCTTCCTTGTGATGCGGTTTAGACCGCGGTAATCAATACGCATACAGCGTTTACCTCCTTTCTTTGGGACAAACAGAATGGGTGCACCAAATTCAGATTCACTGGTCTTTATTCATCCCTTGTCGATCATCTCATCCATATATTTTTGGAGCTCCTTCAACTCGCCGGATCCCATACGGTATACAAAGCTCCTTGGAGGAACAGCGCCTTCGACCAACTCAATCGTGTGTTTGACTGATCATGTG